CTTCACAGAAAAAGTTTCTCACCTCTGGTCTAAAGAACCCAATTCCAGGGAAGAATTAGATTTTTTCTAGGTGAGCAAATACCAGCTGAGAAAGTTGACCCAGTTTATTTTTCTAGGACAAATTTTTCTTTTCCTCACATAGTCATTTCTTAAAAGTAGATATGCTCTCTTGATTTTTAGTCATCATGAATTTGCTATATTAGTGAGCTAACAAAACCTTGTGTTAAAGGAAAGATTAAATCATTCATGTCTTTAAGTCTTAGTAATATCCGATATAATATTGGAAATCTCTTGCTTCAGTAACTATACTTCAAAGCCAAAATCTAAACCGCAGGTTCAAGTATTAAAGTGGTTAAGAGCTTTTGCAGAGGGTCTGGACTTGTTTCTCAGCACCTAATTCTATCCATCCACTTCTAGGGTTCCCATGCTCTCCCTGGCTTCCTATGGTACTGTACATGCACATGGTGTACATGCATACATGCAAGCAAACATCCCAAAACAAACAAAATTTAAGATAAAGCAACACCAAGGGAAATTGAAGCCCAAAGTACTTAAACTTGTAATATTTCTATCTGCAAATTAAGTGTTGACTATAATCAAGCAAGGATGGAAATTTAAGGCATTGACTATCCTTTGAGAGACTTCCTGGTTTTTCTCAACCCAATGATGACCATGCATAGATGTGTTTGCCTTGCTTTTTATTAAAGATGGGAATACTGCCAATGGTGGTCTGTGGTTAGTCTGGCACACCTCAGAGATGCAGGGAGCCAGTATTCTTAGAAGTTTAGCAGTCCAAACTTATATTAGAAATTAGCAAAATTTCTAATTACATATGCCTCAAATTGTACAGGTTCTCTGATATATCATCTATGTTCTGATAAGTTTATACTATAGTTATATCATTGGTTGTATTGGTTGTTTATATAAACCATATCTTGACTTTAAGTGAAACATTTTAAAACAAAGTCAACCATATACTTATCTGTTATATGTTTACAACTTTTTTTTAACAAGTGTTTTTTCAGAAGGGAAGCATGTTGGACAAAAAAGCTTCATATCTAGCAAACAACCATAATAAAGTGTAGGAGAAATTATCCATTGTAAAACATTCATTCCACATACCACAAAGCTTCAGCATGATTTGGTTCACAAATTTAATTAAGTATTTTAACATCAGTTAGTGTAATTTGATAGAATTTGTAAACATAAAAATGTATTGTGGGGCTGGAGAGATGGCTCAGTGGTTAAGAGAACTGCCTGCTCTTCCAAAGGTCCTGAGTTCAATTCACAGCAACCACATGGTGGCTCACAACCATCTGTAGTGAAATCTGGTGCCCTCTTCTGGCCTGCAGACATACATGCAGGCAGAATATTGTGTGCATAATAAATAAATAAATCTTTAAAAAAAAAAGTGTATTGTGACACTAACTTCAGTAACAGTAACTTTACCAAAGTAAAATATGAAGAAATGAGAAGGTTTTTCTCTTTTGCATTTGATCACTTGTTGTCAATTTCATAACCAAGTCAAACTGAATGTTCATAGGACTGAAATTTCTAATGGAAGCAAAATGTAATGAAAGAATTTGTAAGAAGACCTTTGCTTTCCTGATGGTCTCTTCCATAAAGAACTTCCCCAATTCCATTGGTTTTCAATGAACTTTACATCCTATTTATCATCTCTGCTTCTCAGTCCAACCTATTTTCAGATTGTTTCCATCAGAATAGGCTACATTTAGTAACAAGTTAGGATGTAATCTCAGTGCTTGTGCACAGTAGAGATCAACTGTGGCTTATGTCTTGAGCTATCCCCTACCAACTAGAATGGTTTTCTAGCTATACTATCTACACCAGTGTCCTTTAAAGTCCTCAGCTGTATAAAATGATAGTCAGTTTTGCTCATAGCTTGTAGATCAACTGTAATCACATGGCACCAACCTAAGTACAAAGATTAGAAAATACAGGGGTAGCACACGAGGTATTTGGAGATGGTTTGTACCCTCCTCAGTTATAGCTTTCTTGTTTCTTATGTCTCACTAACGTAGCCACATTGCTTGGGAAAATAATTTTGTTATTACTTTCTAAGTAGCCTCCATTTTGCACTGAATCAAATTAATCTCAACTGTGCAAGTGTGTATGATATGGCTCTTGCTTTACTCTCCAAATTTCATGATTGGCATTTAGTACTACTAAATATTCTCTGTAGTAAATAAATTTTAAATAGGCACTCTCACTTTTTTCATACTTATAAAAATGTGATTTTTTAAAATGTGCAAAATTTCTAAAATTATAATATTGAATGTAAATTGGAAATGTCAGGAGAAACCTTGCCACATACAGTATTTTCATTCATAGTACAGGCAATTAAAATCTTTTAGAAATAGCCTTTTAGAAATACTTATATAAAATCTTATTATACTTACTATGTAGCGAAGTTACAATACTTGCTTTATTTATCTGACAGAAAATTGTTTCTTTAATATATTTTCTGGTTGAGATATGAATAGTCCATTATAAAGTTTATTATCATTGTTGTTGTTTTTAAGACAGGGTCTCACTACGTAGCTCTGGCTGTACTGACATTCAGTCTATCGACCAGGCTGTCCTCTGTCTAGCTCACAGACATCAACCTGCCTGTCTCCTGAGTGCTGGGATTAAAGGCGTGTGTTATGACACCTGACCTTTTTGTTTTGGTTTCCAGTATACATTTTCTAAACTTTAGCTTTTATAGTGGTTTTGGGCTCTCAGCAATACTGAGTAAATATTAGAATTCCTGTATACTCTCTGTCCTCCCTACAAATCTACTGAGAATCAACATCAATGCCAATTGCTATTACTGATGAACCTATATTGATATGTTATCATCACCTGTAATTATCATTATGGTTCATTGTGGGATACATTCTATGGTTTTGATAATAAATACACTCAGGTACTTATTTTTTAAAAAATAAATGTTCATATGTTGCATAGTTATTAGCTCTGAGTTACACCTTCATTATTTTTCCTTAGTACTCTGTATCTATTAATTTTTCCTCCCTTCCTTCTTCCCCACTTTCATCCTCCTCCCATACAATGCATGATCACGATTATTTATTCTTCTAGTTGATGCAGTTATAGTGTTTCATGAAATAATTCATTTGCAATCTAAAAGACTACAGATTCAAAGATTGTCCCAGTTAAAAGATAAACTAAGAGGCTTCAATCTTTATTTCTAAATGTATAAGACAGTAGAGCTCATTATAAATCCCCTGTGTTCTCTGTACTATAGAGCATGGTCATTAGGGTTTTTTTTTTAATAAGATATTTATTTTAATAAACACCCAAAGACCCATGTATTTGAGATAATTATTGGAAATATAAGTCTGGTCATGGTAGCACATGCTTTTGGTCCAGCATTTGGGAGGCAGAAGCAGTTAGATTTCTGTGCATTTGAGGCCAGTCTGGGTTACAAAGCTTATTCCAGGACAGCCAAGGCTATCTAGTAAAATACTATTAGAAAAAAGGAAAGAAAGAAAAGCAACAGAGAAGGAAATGTAGTAGAGAATTTTATAAATTATTGTCAATGCCTTTAAGTATTAGGTAGCCAATAATGATAACTATATCACACCAATAAAAGTTACATAGTTAAACACATTATAGTTTATTAAGTGAATTTTGGTACAGTCCAAATGGATTATCCAATACTTGCATCCACTTTTACATGTGAAATTCTTTTTTTTTTTAAAATTCCTCTCTCATAACATTACATCCCAACTGCAGCCTCCCCTCCCTTCTCTCTTCTGAAACTGTCTCCTCCCCTTCCCTTTCCCCCAGATCCACCACTCCTCTGTTTCCTTTCACAAAAGAGCAGGCCTCCCAGGGATACCAACTAAATATAGCATAACAAATTACAGTAAGACTAGACACAAATCTTCTTATCAAGGCTAGACCAGGCAACCCAGTAGGAGGGAAAGGCAAGAGCAGGCAAGAGTCAAAGACACTCCCACAGCCATGACTAGGAGCCCACAAGAACACCAAGCTACACAGTCATAACATATGTGCAGAGGACCTAGCTTAGACCCACACTGTTGCATCAGTCTCTGTGAGCCCCTGTGAGCCTGCTTAGTTGATTCTGTAGCCATGTACTCCTGTGTCCTCGAACCCTCTGGCTCCTACAATTCTTCCTCCCCCACCCTTTCATGATAGCTCCCAGAGCTGCACCTAAGGTTTGGCTGTGGTTCTCTGCATTTGCTTCTATCAGTTGCTGAAGCCTTTCTGATGATGATTGGGCTAGGCACCCATCCTATGAGTATAGCAGAATATCATTAGGGATCTTTGTATTTATTTACTTCTTTACTTTATTTATTTATTTATTCATTCATTTGTTTGTTTATTTATTTATTTATTGCCAGTCCTGTTTGGTTCTATCCTAGGTCTCCGGTCCTGATTCTCCAGGCAGTGTCAGGTGTGGGCTCTTCTCTTGTGGTGTGGGCCTCAAGTTGGACCAGTCATTGGTTGGCTACTCCTACAAGTTCTTAGCCACCATTACCCCGGCACATCTTGCAGGCTGGACAAATTGTAGATCAAAGGTTTTGTGGCTGAGTTGATGTCCTAGTCTCACCACTGGAAGCCTTGCCTGGTTATAGAAGATGGCTGGTTCAGGCTCTGTATCCTCTATTACAGAACAGATTTTACAGAATCTTAGACTTACCAATTTTGTTTCATTTTCCCTATTGGCTCAGCCCCATGCAACCCCATAGGATTAATAACATACTAAATTACAGAGGGATTACCTACCTACTGTTGGGCATATAATATTGTCTAAAGCAAAGTACTTGTGTAATACCAAGGTAAGAAATCAAATTATGTTCTTTGATAAGAAGTCAGCCTGCCATCTCTGGTGCAGTGTAGATAGTTTGTAAAAGAAATGGGATTTCATGAAAGTAGTCAGGGAAGTTATAAGCACTTTGAAGAGCTGACTGACTTTGTGCTTTGACTAACACTGTTTGCTTTGTTCACAGCAACTCTAGCACTGAATGGAAGTGGCTTGTAGACAGAGCGCAAGTTGGCAGCCGATGGACTTGGCTTCAAGCTCAGATTTCAGAACTAGAATACAAAATCCAGCAACTAACAGATATTCACAGGCATATTCGTGCATCCAAGGTATTTTGTTTTATTGTTTTATTTTTTGTTAAAGTTGTTACCTGTATAATTTCTCCTCATTTCTTCACACAAAATAATTTTAAGTTTCATAAAAGTACCTAGTTTAAGATATTTAAACATTAATTTCTTAAATAGATCTACTTTTGTAAAGCCTTTATATATATGTATGTATATATATATATATATATATTATTTGATCATACTTTTTAACAATTAAGAACTGAGTTCAATGATAAAAGTAGTATACATTTTTTTCAAAAGTTTTGTCGTATATATATCATAATTTGCCATCTTTATCATTTTTATGTGTATAATTTCATGGTATTAAGTACTTTAATACTATTAGGCATTCATTTCCATAACTTTTCATCTTTTAAAACTGAAAATTCTATACCTATTAAACAATGACTGACTTGTTTTCCTTCTCCCTCACCTTAATAATCATGTGTGTTCACAAGTATCTCATATATGTGGAAACATAATAGTACTTATATTTTTATGATTGTTCTTATTTTATAGCCCACTGACCTTCCATTTTATGCACATTATAATATAAATCTGAATTTCTTTCATTTTCGAAAGCTGAATAGTTGTATATTTATCACATTTTGTTTATCCATTCATCTAGTGTTCCCCGTTTTAACTGTCGTGAGTATGCTATGAATAGAGTGCAAAAATATCTCTTCAGGGTACTCTTTTTAGTGGAACCTGACTTGTGCCATTAATCCCAGCACTTGGGAAAGGGAGGCAAGTGGATTTCTTTGCGTTAAAGTCTGCTTCCCTGCATAGTGAGTTCCAAGTCATCCAGGGCTCCATAGTAGAGAGCCTTTCTCAGAAACAAACAAACACAAACAGCACTCTTTCAATTCTTTTAGCTATACATCTAGAATGGAATTACAGAATTGCGTGGTAATTCTATTTTTAATTTTTAATGAACTATATTATACATTGTTCCAATTACTCCAAGTTGTGGCCAACATTCTGGGTTTTTTCTTTTAAAGATAATCATACTGGATGTAAGGTGATGTCTCTTCAGTTTTGGTTTACATTTCCCTAACATTATTATTAATGATATTGAGCATATTTTTATGTTTACTTGTTGTTTGTATATTTTCTATGGAGAAATATCCATACATCAAGTCTTTTGCTTACTTCTAATTAGCTTTGCTGTTGCTGAACTTTAGGGGTTCTTTGTATATTCTAGACAATAGTTGTTTCTCTAGTATGTGATTTCCAAATCTTTTCTACCATTTTGTTTTGTTTTTACTTTGTTTGTATTATTTTTATGACATCTAATTTAATCTATCCTATTTTTATCTGTGCCTTTGGTGTCCCTATGTTTTCTTCAAAAGTTTTATAGTTTTAGGTCTTATAGTGAGGTATTTGGTCCATTTTGAGTTAATTTTTATATATGTAGTTAGAGTCTAACTTCCATTCTTTTGCATTTAGATCTCCAGTTTCCCCAGGGCCAAATTAGTTGTAAAAATTTTGCTTTCTCTATTGAGTGGTTTTGATGTCATTCTCAAAATCATTTGACCATATAAGCAAATATTTTATTTCTCTGCTCTTTGTTCTATTGGTCTATATGTAAAATGGTCTGTTTACATTTAGCTATTATTACACTATTTTGATAACTCTAGTCACTATAGAATCAAGGAATAGTCTTCCAGTTTTTGGTTTATGTTTTTGTTTATCAAATAAAAATTTAACATGACACAACATGAAATACAGTGAAAGTAGTGCTAAGGGGAGAATACACAGCTATAAGTACACTTAAAAATAAAAAAGTCTCTAGGCAACAGCCTAATTTTAAATGTTTAATAGCCATTAGAAGGACAGTCAGACCCAAAAGCTAGCAGAGGGAAGGAAATAATACAAATTAGAGATAAATGCAAATGAGGATAGAAAAACATCAAAGGTTTGGAGTTTTGGTTGGTTGGTTGTTTTGTTACTGAAAAAAGGTCTATGTAGCCTGGCTGTCCTCAGCCAGCCTTCTGTTTCAGCCTCCTGAGTATTCAGTTATAAGATATGTGCTACCATCCCATCTTTGAGAAAATCACTAAAAACCAAAGTTGGTTCTTTTATCCAGGTTTTGTGGTATATACTGATAATTGCAGCACTTTGGGGACAGAGACAAATCAATCACTTGTACCGTGCCATTCCCCTTTACCCTCTTTTCCCTTACTAAGCTGTTAAGTGGCTGAAGTTAGATGTGCTCATGTTTGGGTCTTTGATTCACATGCCTGTTTCTGTGCCACTACACTGTTTTTATTACTATGGAACTGTAATCTTAAAATCTAGAAATTTAATCCCCTCAGCATTGTTCTGTTTGCTCAGAATTGTTTTGGCTATCTCTGGTTCTTCTGTGGTTCCATATGAAGTTTAGAATACTTTTCTGTTTCTGTAAAGAATGAGATAGGGATTTTGATTTAGAGTGCACTGAGTTTGTAAATATATTTTTGTAGAATTGTCATTTTCACAATGTTAATACTAACAACCCATGAGCAATGGTGTCTTTGCATTTCCTAATGTTTGTCTCTTTTTTCAGACATTTAGAGTTTTCATTCTAGAGGTCCCTCACTTCCTTGGCTTGGTTTTTTTCCTAGATATTCTCTGAGGCTATTGTGAATGGGAGTGTATCCATGATCTCCTCTGTAAAGTTTGTTGTTTGTGTACAGAAAAGCTATTGATTTGTGCAAGTTGATTCGGTATACTGCCATGTTGCTGAGTTTTTTATTGTTTCTACAAGTTTTCTGATAGAATTTTGGAATATATCATCTGAAAAGAGGGATAGTTTACTTCTTCCCATATTTGTATCGAAGAATATGTTTCTAATTTTTTTCTTCTTATTTTCAGCTTTAACTCATATGTGGCTTAACATATGGTCTCTTTGGGAAAATGTACAATGTATAGTTAGGAATCTATATGCTGCTTTTGGGTAGTTGTATGTATGTCTGTCTGTTAAATCTATTTAGTTCACTGTGTTATGTCCTGTGTTTATTTACTTAACTGTGATAGTGAGTTACTATTTCTTTTATTAAGATGTGATCACTTTTACTGTTTTTTTTTTTTTTTTACCCCCCTAGGGGATAGTGATCTTAGAAGAATGTCCGCTTCCAAAAGACATTTTGAAAAAACAAATACAGTTTTCCAATCAAGCAGTTTCATTAAACACTTCAGTGAATTCGCAGGTTCCCCAAAGGGGTGAAGAGCCTTTGCCAGAGCATGATTTTGAGATGTCACCGAGTAGCCCTACACTACTTCTTCGAAACATAGAAAAACAGGTACGCTTAGAGTGTCTTCTTTATGAATAACTTTAGATTTTGTTTCTTAAACTCTTCGATAGGGTTAGATTTCACATATCCTCCAAAAGTTACTTGGGTTGTCTCTAGCTTATAGACCCAGTCAGTCCTTGAGAGTTGATTGTATCATGAAGGTTCTGACTAGATCAAACCAGGGATAGATATATAATTTGTTAGAAGTTATAAGGTGGGGTCTTGTTAGAGAAAGTAGATAACTAGGAACACATTTTTAAGAAGCAAACACTATGGACAAACAGACTTCATTTTAGTTTATGCAAATCAATAAATACAATATAGATGTAAGTACTCAGGAGAGAAATTCAGGACCTTAATGATGCTTAACTGTACTAAAGTGTGAACTGTTTCTTTGTAGAGTGCACAGTTGACTGAGATCATTAACAGTTTGATTGCTCCTCTCAACTTGTCTCCAACTTCATCGCCCCTCTCCTCTAAATCCTGTAGTCACAAATGTCTGGCTAATGGCATTTCAAGGAGGTATGTATTACTTGAAGAGTTTGGCTTCTAAATTTGGCTTATTTTAATTTTGTTGATCTGTATCTGTTACAGCCATTTTTCTTCTTCATTACAGTCTTCAATAGAACAATCAGTAGATCATGGGTACAGTTTTAGACATAGTAAGTTCATAGGATTAATGTAATTATAAAACCTTTCCATAAGGAAGTGCAATTTCTAGGAATTTTAATACTTCTGAAAATCATACTAGTGATGATATTAGCTATGGAAGTATTGTCTTATTACTATGACTTCCATTTTGTACATTTCTTCCTTGATCTCCAGTTTACTATAACTTAAAATCAAAAGACCCCAGATATATATAGTTGGGCACATATCATCATAATTTTACCTTAATTTTTATATTAATCATAGTTATTTTAAGTACTTCCTATTATAGCAAAAATGATAATGTATATCCTGATAAAAATCATATTAAGCATTAATATTAATGGAATGGCTATTCCATTCTTAAATTACACTAGTTAATATAAAGTAAGTGTTAAATAAAAATATTTTTATTTCCAATTGATAATTCTGAAAGCTTGTTTATTTATTTATTTATTTATTTATTTATTTATTTATTTATTTTGTTTTTTTGAGACAGGGCTTTTCTGTAGCTTTGGAGCCTGTCCTGGACCTTATTCTGTAGATCAGGCTGGCCTCAAACTCACAGAGCTCCACCTGCCTCTGCCTTCCAAGTGCTGGGATTAAAGGTGTGTGCCACCACTACCCAGCTGAAAGCTTGTTTTAAAATATTTCTACAGTTTTATTTATGTGTAGTCATTTTTCCCTGGTTCTATCGTGAAAATAGTTTTTCTATTGATTTTGCTTCATTTTTTACATAGTGCCATTCTTTGCATCACTGATGTTTGACTTGGAAAGTAAGACTTGCTGGTGGTATAGGGCAACTATGGTAGTCTCATTTGCAAGAATCCTGGTTTGGAGATTCATGATGAAAGTCAAGTACAAGTTGAGTCATAAAATGATGAATGAACATTGTGGTTTCAGGCCAAATGCATTTTTTATATCATTTTGCTTATCTAAATTACGCTTATTACCATGACTATATTATTGGATACACACACACACACATATAGTTAGGGTTTCTATTGCTGTGAAGAGACACCATAACCATGGCAACTCTTATAAAGGAAAACATTTAATGGGGTGGCTTATAATTTCAGAGTTCTAGTCCATTATCATCATGATGGGACATGGAGGAATACAGGCAGACATGGTTCTGGAGGAGCTCAGAGTTATATCTTGATATGCAGGCAACAGGAAGTTGTTTGTCTCACTGCACCTGACTTGAGCATATAGGAAACCTCAAAGCCAACGTCCACAGAGACACACTTCCTCCAACAAGGCCATACCTACTCTGACAAAGCTACACCTCCCCATTGGGGCCAATTTCTTTCAAACCATCATCATCATATCATTTAGATAAATACATAATTCTTATTGCTAAAAATGTCATTTTGGAGCCAGGCAGGCATGGTATCTCATGCCTATAATCCCAGGATTTGGGAGGCTGTGTCAAGAGGATTACTAGTTTAAAGCCAGCCTGTGAGTTATTAATGAGACAGATTGAGGAGATGGCTCAGTAGTTAAGAGTACAAACTGCTCTTTCCAAGGACCTGAAGTTGGCTCCTAGACCATGCCAAATGGCTCATAGCATCTTATAATTCTAGCTCCAGGGACTCTCTTCTGGATTTCACAGGGACCTGTATTCATGTGTTCACGTACCCACTCAAGATACACATATACACATAATTAAAAATAAAACAAAAAACAAATACAAAACTTGGAATTAGACAGAGTTCAGCTAATCCCAACTTAGCTAACTGGTGTCAGCATAATCTTGTATATTTTTCTATATTTCAGGAAGAGTCAAAATGGGCATGGTGATGTATTTCTGTCATCCTAGCCATTTGCAAAGCTGGGGCAAGAGCATTGCATGAGCTGGAGCTGTGGCTTAGTTGTAGAACACTTGTCTAGCATGTGTGAAGCTCTGCATTTGGTTACTACTACTCAAAGAAAATAGATGAGAACAATCAGTTATTTCATGGGTAGTTTTGAATATCAGATAACAATCATGATTTATTTCATTAAAATTTTTACACATTATCTGTTTTAGTCTTTATATAAACTTCCAAAGAGTAGTTTTCTTTGGTTTATCTTGTTAAATTGTGGTTTGGGTTTAATTTTGAATACTTAATCAGTAAGACACATATTATGAACTTCAATTAACATTGAATGAATTAAATATTTGTCATCTTTCAGCCAGTATAAGAAAAATACCTGGATGATCAGCTTTGAATTTGGATACATTTCTTTTGGCTTTCAGTTTTAGAGGTTCACAGTCAGTTGGTCCCATTGATTTTAGCTCAAGGCAGGTAGTTAGGCACACCATGGCAAGAGTATTTGGTGGAACAAAGCAGCCAGCTCATCAGGAACCAGAGAGCAAAAAGGAAGACAAAGAGTCTGGGCTCTCAAGCGCCCTTCTTAAGGTCAGACCTCTTATGGCTCAAGGATCCCTCTATAGAGCTATAGCTTTGTATCTTACTGTTAAAGGTTCTGCCACCCTCTATTAATGCCAGCCTGTGTACCAACTTTTTAGTGAGTAGACATTTAGTAGACCAGGCTCCAAACTATGCCAATATGCTTTGCAGTTTCTTCTGGATAATAGACATTCTTAAAACAATGTTGTGGGGCTGCTGGCATATACTTCAGCTGATACAGTGTTAGCCTATGTGAGGCTCTAGGTTCCATTCCCATAAACTGGATGTGGAGGTTCACATCTCTAATTGTAACACTGAGGAAGTTGGGGCAGGAGGATCAGGGTTTTGAGACCACTCTGGGATGTAGGAGACCCTGTATTAAAAAAAAAAAGAAAGAAAGAAAGAAAAAAGAAAAAGAAATTGTCCTTATTTTTCCTCTACAATAGTCATGTCAGTTTCTGTTGCTCTCACGACTACCTCTATCAGTCTTGCTTCCCACCTAATAAGCCTCTGGATTAGAGTATACAAAACTCAGCACTGGAGAGATGACTGGGCTGTGACCAGTGCTTGCTGCCCTATCATGGGGATCAGATTTCCTGATCCTAGCACCCACGCTGAGTGGCTCTTAGATGCCTGTAACTCATACTCTAAAGAGATCCTCTTCTGCTCTCCATAAGTATGCAAACACACAAGTGAGTGCGCGTGCACACTAAATAACTAGGTATCTTAAAAGGAGAAATTCAAAGCAGTAGAAGTATCTATAATGTAGTAAGAGACATTTTATAGGAAAAGAAAGCCTCTGTTAAGAGTAACGTGAGTAAGCTTGCATGCATGCCACAATGAAGTCTCTCTTGGTTAAATGGAGGCCTTTTGTGATTTTAGCTGCATTCTGTGTAGTTGGCAGGTCATATATCTAACCTCACAAATTCTTCTATCAAGGTATACTCATCCTAGTTTCACATCATAATTTTTCATATTGTGGAAGAAATTTAAATTTTATAGTCTAGTCTTTAATGTGACTTTTGGGGGGTCAAATAAACTTTGATATTTTAAAAAATATTTTAGGTCATTTTTATAAGTATCTTAATAACCTCTTCTCATAATGTCTTTAAACTCACTGCTAATCCTTTTCTGGGAACTCATTTGTGCACTTATTGTTATTCATTGATTAAAACCCTCATTTATTAATGAAGGGCACTACCTGCCCAAAAGTGGTAAGGTTGGATTTAATCTTTTAGCTTTATTAATCCTAGCACAAGGCCTGAGATGAGTTACTGAGAACCAAATAAATATGTTTAAATCTCCAAATAAATGAAGCATTGCATTCTGTCAATGAGGTAGTCTAAGTTTTTAGATCTGATTTTTTTTTTTTTTTTTTTTTTTGGTTTTTCGAGACAGGATTTCTCTGTATTGCTTTGGAGACTGTCCTGGAACTAGCTCTTGTAGTCCAGGCTGGTTTCGAACTCACAGAGATCTGCCTACCTCTGCCTCCCATGTGCTGGGATTAAAGGTGTGCACCACCACCACCCAGCTTCAGGGTCTAAATTTTTGTTTGATGTTTGCCTTAATGAGTTCCAGAATGGGGTATGAAATTAAATTCCAATGAATCATTGCCATACAGCTTCCATTAATGGTAACTATCTCACGTGAAATGTAAGCACTCCTTCTAATAGGGTGTCGTAATTGAACAGCGGCATTTGTGTTGTCAAACTAGTCAAAATATAAAGTAATAGTTTTACCATCACAGTATTTTCAATAGTCATTTCTTAATTATGAGGACATTGTTTGGTATATTTTCTGAATTAGTGTTTTAAATATAATTTTGAATTCTGATGGATGACACTAATTATCATGTTAGCTAGGTGTATGATATCTATGGGGAAATGAAACTTCCCTGCTGTGTTTTTAAAGTAGTGCCAATAGGAGTTATTTTTATTTGTAAAACAGCTTCTTTTTGCTTTTATCGATAATGATGTAAGTGTAAAAACCTAATTTTATACAGGGGGATATACCACTAAAGTCATGTCTAGAAAATATATAAGAACATGTTTACTTTGGACTATTAATTGGAAAAAATGAGAATACAAAATTTACTATACAATGGTTTTTTAGAAAAATATTTGAGGGGTATACAGTAAAATGTTAATGAAAATAGTATTTCATCTTAGAAGGCCAGGTTTAGAAAGTATTTTAGCTTTTATTTATGCGTGAAGGTACATATGTGAGTACCCATGTGTCTGTATGCCCCGCACACTTACAGAGGTCAGAGGACAACTGTGGAGGTTGTCCTTCAGGTACCTTCTACCTTTTGAGACAGAAATCTTCACCAGTAGGCCCAGCTTCCCAGGATCTGCCTGTCTTTTATCTCTTACTAGGCAGTTCATGGGCTTACAGGTCCCAGCCACACACTACACTCCTTACATGGATTCTGAACAATGAAAACACATGTGCTAATGTTCGTGAAGCAATCTCCTATTACCATAACTTTATTTTTTTCCCTTTTCTTTGTGTGTTTCCAAAGTTTCTTTGAAATGAAAAACACTAATGTTTTTGTTTTGTTTTTTACAACTCAGATAAGAAATAATGTCTGACAGGCAATTAACAGTAGCTTTCTGCTTTTTGTTCTTTAGTTTAGTCTTCATGCTTTTAAATCCTCTTTAGGCAGGCGCTGTGGCACATGCCTGGAGTCCCAGTTCTTTAGAGGCAGGCATACATGGACCATGAGTTCTAGGCCAGACCAGCTTGGGCCATACAAAGTTTGAGGCTAGATTTGGCTTACATAGTAAGAACTTTTCTCAAAAACAACTACAGGGCTGGAGAGATGGCTCAGAGGTTAAGAGCACCAACTGCTCTTCCAGAGGTCCTGAGTTCAATTCCCAGCAACCACATGGTGGCTCACAGCCATCCATTATAAGATCTGGTGCCCTCTTCTGGTGTGCAGATATACATGGAAGCAGAATGGTGTATACATAATAAATAAATAAAAATCTTTAAAAAATATTTTAAAAAAAACAACTACAAAAAGAAATAATAATAAAAAGTCCCATTTGGTTAATAGCCAGAGATAAAAATACAAATAACACTATAATAATCAGTTTATTTTTCTCCATAAAAACATTAAACATAGAAAATATATTAAAAATAAATCCACCTATTTCTAGACTTAATTATCTCATTATTTTGTTTGAAATTCAGTTAAGTGACTTCTATTTCTAGCATGATTGTTCACGCCAGAAATATGTTAAAAGCCAATTTTGGAGACTGTTATTTTAACACTGAACAGTTTCTGTGATGGACTCTTTTAAAACTATGTAGTACTCTATTTTAACATTATCATATTTTGTCACCTTGGTCCTGAGTTCCTAAACTCTTCTGACTCTACTTCTCAAATGTGCAGATAGCATACTAACCATAATTTATCATTATCATGAAGTCCTCTAGTCATACTCAACTTTTCATCCTTAAACTTATCTTTTACTGACTGATTTGTTAGGATCAGTATCTAACAAAATCTATACTTTATATTTGGTTAAGTCTCCTATTTCACTTTTGTTCTTAGTAGCCATGTTTAAATGTAGAAGAAATCCTAATACAAAATTAAAAGACTACAGCTTAAGTGTTTATTTATTTTGTACTATAAATTGAGTCTAGAGTCTTACACATGCTGGGCAAGTGCTCTAACCACTGATTATATATACATATAATCAGTGTGTGTGTGTGTACTTTTTAAAAACTTTAGGAACTGTATCAAGTGTTTGAGAAACTATATATCTCAGTTATCAACTAGTTAAATATTGCAGTATTTGGCTTTAGGCTTGAAAAAAATCCCTTTTATCTGGGCATGGCATATGATCCCAGCACTTTGTACTTTTTACATTTTGAGACAGAGCTCACTAAATTGCCTAGGCTGGTCTTTGCCTTACTCTGTATCACAGGCAGGCCTTGAATTTACATTCTGATTTCATTGCTGAGGCTTCCTGAGTGGCTAGTATTACACACCAGTGTCACCAGGACTGGCAAAAGGTGACAGTTTTGTGTTATTACTAATCACTACAAATATTGACTTGGTTGTTAAATGTATTATAGTTACCATCTTCCCTGCTTAAGTCTTCTTTCTGTTTTCACCCACATAAACTATCCAGGCTTCTTTAGATCTTTTTGTTTTCCCATTGCTGTGTAAGCATTCTTGAATTTTTTGTTTCATCCGCTCTAAAAGAACATTTTTATAGTCACTGTAATATGATTTAAAAGCAATAATTCTGTTAGAGAAAAGAATATCTTTTGTGTGTGTATGAATGTGTGTAGAGGTGTGGTATATGTATGTGTTCCTGAGGTTGTATGTGCATACACGTGGAAGCCAGAGGTAGAAGCTGGATATCTCCCTCAAGACTCTCCACTTTACTTTCAGAAACAAGGTCTCACTGAACCCGGAGTGCATCCATGTTGCTGAGGTTTAGGTTTCATTTAAGCCTGTCTCCTGTCCCAGTGCTGGGTGTCATGAAAAAAATAAAGAGAAAGAAAGAAAGAAAGAAAGAAAGAAAGAAAGAAAGAAAGAAAGAAAGAAAGCAAGCAAGCAGAGGCACTGCTGCATTTAGCTTTTACAAGGGTACTAAGGGATCCAAACTCAGGTTCTTGCACTTCCATGGCAGGTATTTTGCGGACTGAGCTATTTCTCTAGCCCTTACAAGAACTGTCTTATATTTACCTGCAAACAACAATTGTTCTTAAGTCAAATAGCATTATTTAGTTAGTGAGGTGCCAGAGAGAGAGAACAAACAGATACCTCTACTCAATGTTTCCATGTTCTTGTCACATTAAAGACATAATAAGGAAGACATTGGGAGCAAGTTTATTACAAGACAGAGTTACATGAGGAAGCAGTAATAACTGGCTTCTTAGGAAGAAAATATCCCAAATCTCCAACAGCTCCGTTTATGCCCAAACTTAAAAGTGATAGAGGAAGGATGATTGTTGAGTTAAGGTAGAGGAAAGGTGAGAGATTCCAGGAAGGAGTATGGCCATGTGTCCTGGAATAGGGCTAACCCAGCTTTTCTGCCCTTATGTGGGGTTTTTCAGATGTAGCATGGTGTCAGATACATGATAGAAGCAAACAAATTTGCAAGGCTAATGATATGGAGATGTAACTATAATGAAGCAAAGGTAGTGAGCAGTTGTCCCTGCAGGTGGTCACATAATGAGTGGTCACATAATGCCCTGCCATAATACACTATAGTTGTATCCCCCTTTAGCCAGTTTGCTGTTTGTCACTTTATCCCCTGTGTCTATCTAGCCCATCTGAAATTCACTTAACGTTAGACTACTAAGTCAGCTATTGTTGGGCAGCATAAAATTGTAATTGGTACCTGTTGTTGAAAAGCTTACTTTATATTAATACATAAATATGTTACTATATGTTATATATATATATTATATGCAGGATATTAATAATGTAAGTGAAATGTGTCAACATGAAACTGTTCTCCAAAATTTCCAAGACAGTTTATTCTGAGTAATTACACAGGAGCAGATTCAGGTTGCCTTGAATGATATGTTCCATTGTGGAAACAATTTCATGAACATTTTTATGAACAAAAGAAAGTCATACATACATCAAGGCACCTGCCAAATACAGGGTTGGAGATTCAAGTAGGGCCGGCCACAGCAAAGCTGGGCAACTGTTAACCATTTTCAGGTGCTATCTCTTGACATTTTTAGTTTTTGCAATGGTGGAAGCTGGTGATCTGGTAATAATTTACTGCTAGTCAAAAATAGAACTAGATCAGATTCAGAAATAGGTAGCAAATGACTATTACAGGACCCAAGATAAATATACCCCAAGATAATTTTCTCTTGATGTATAATATTCCAACATAATCATGAAATTTTAACCTGACAGTTTGTAAAATCTTCAAAATAGATGTCTTTTTTTCTGGGAACTTCATCACAAAACCTTAAATGTAATGTTAAAAATTAGTATAAAGAGTAATTACAAAGTTATATTTTTCATATATAACTTATTTCATTACTTTACAGTTGTAACTTAGAAGTTTAAAGGTGTCTAAACTATAATAGGATTGAAGGTGTGCAGTAAGCTTGCTTATTTAAGAGAAACTAAAGATGCAGTGAGGAGACCTTGGTATTTTTAAACCTTTGGTTCTGATGTACTTCCCCCACATGCAAAAGGAAATTGACATGAATAGTTAAAACTGTTGTATGTGAATTACTGATTTACAAGGAACATTTATTTTATGCTAAAGAACATTTTAACTTTGAAGATGTACCTTTTACAGCAGAAAATAGAAATTATTTTTATATTTTTGCTATGTAATTCTCCATGAATGTCAATTATTTTACTACTGTTATCACAAAATTGGCTAAAAATGAATACTCTTTTATTATAATAAACCAAGAAAATTTACATTTAGTTTTCTTTGTCTTTTGTTCATTTTATTTTATCCCCCATCTCCAATTATTTCATACATTTCAGTGCTTCAGAGAATTTAGATGAGCTCTCTTCCTCCAGTAGCTGGTTACTTAATCAGAAGCACAGTAAGAAAAGGAGAAAAGACAGGACAAGATTGAAATCTCCATCCTTGGCTATCATGAGTACAGCTGCCCGAACAAGGCCCCTTCAGAGTTTCCATAAAAGAAAACTCTACAGATTGAGCCCCACTTTTTACTGGACTCCTCAGGTAAGGCTGCATTTGGGAAAACACGAAGAAAGATTTCACTACCAATATATTTTGAGTACAATTGGAGGCGAGTTTTATATATAGGGTAATTACATATGGAAAATTTAAAGTACAGTTTACAATTTAGATAATAATAATAAAAATTGGGATTTAATATTTTAAATATAGCAGTATATCTATAATTTCTCTTATTCTCAGTTTTTAAAAAAGAATTATTGCTTTTCTTTGCTGCTGGAAATTTAACGTGGGCCCCTGCATGCCAAACCTGCACTCCACACTGAGCTATGATCAAGCCCCTGGTTTAAAAAAATCAATGTATGTTGCTGTTTTGTAAGTAAATTAAACTAATTTTTAAAGAAAATGAAATGTCAAGGTGATTTTTAAAACACCCAGGTAAGGGTAATGATGAAACGTACTACACATCTGTGTTAGAAATATCTGCTCAGGAACACAGGATATATGATGATGGGGGAATACCAGTGCAGGAGCTGGCATCTAGAAGTGTCTTCTGCCAAATGTGGGAATATTTGAGTATCATACTTTTTAATTCCCTGCCTGCCTCCCTCCCTCCCTGCCCCTGCTCCTTCCCTCCCTCCCAAACAGAGTTGTATGTGTCCTATGCTGGCCTCAAATCACTGTGTAGCCAAGGATGATCTTGAACTGATCTTCCTGTTTCCACTTCTGGGGTGCCTGGATTATGAGTATGCTGGGAATTGAACCTAAGCCTTGTGAATGCTAGGTCAATGCTTTACCACCTGATCTACATTGCCATCCCAATAAGGACAGTAATGAACGACTGGAAACATGAGTGGGATAGGGATGCAGCTAAGCTGATAAGAGTGTTTGGAAAGCATTGACAATGCCTCAGGGTTTGAGGCATGGTGACATATACATTTGGGAGGTTGAGGCAAGATGATGAAAACTCTAAGGCCATCCTAGGCCACATAATGTGGCCTACATGACACTGTCTCAAAACTATACAACACAACATAAAAATCCACATGCACCCACAAGTTCACAGCGATGACACAAAAAAGATGGAATGGTTGGTAGGCAGGTATGTAGGTAGACAGGGCAGGGTGATAATAGAATGGATGAGAAAATGAAAGAAGGACCAGGCAAGAATAGAAAGAGATTAATAACAACCTGGAGTGAGGACTAAGGAGGACATTGTAGACAGGATTATATACATGGACAACTCCCCTTCCTGCCTATTGTCTTGTCAGGGGCTCATAATAGTTCTGTTATAGACAATCAGAAAATATGTCACCCAAGTTATTAAAGCCAGAGTTGCCTACTAGAAAAATACAATATTATGCAGGTGTGTATCATTCTAATTCAAGTATGAGAAATATGCTACTAAGAAGCAACTAGCTTGGAATAGTTAAAAAGTTCACAATGCCATGTCATGAAGAATTGTTCTTGATTGAGATACTAAGAAGATATATGACAAAGGATTAATGTGTAATACAGAGCAGAATATTGTCAGTGGGACAATTTTTCTTATAAAGGTGAGAAAAGTTGAAGTATGGTTGATAAATTAGATAAAAATATTAATCAGGGTGGGGATATAGCTACATCTGCAGTAGTCACTGAGCTACATCTCCATTTTACCATCCATAAACCATATTCTGGTGTCATCCCCAACACTGTAAATAAACAAATAAAAAGCCAGTGTTGAATTTTTGGCATGTGAAAACTGTTGTTTTGTTATGTATGAAACCAACCTATTGTAGGAAGCACTCACTGAAATATTAAAGGTTAGTAGCTAACACATATATTAACTCTTGTGCATCTAGAATGGTATTAGTTCTGGGTCATCCTTTGGAGAACTGAAGGTCCAGACATGAATATCTAGACACTTACTGGTTGATGATACAAGGCAATGAAGAGAAGTAACAACGCAATACTATACCACTCTTTAGTAGTAGAGAGGACATAGACTTAGGACAAATACTTAGCTGACAACCAAGGGGCAAATGTTTCAATTTTTAAATATTATACTATTAAGGACATCTTCAGGACTTGTGGTTTCAGGTCCAGCATACAAAGAAAGAAGACAATATCACTACAATCTTTAGACTAAAACAGTGAGCAACTTAAAAGCTAATTACTTTCTATGAATCTGTCAGAGATTTGAGGTTGCCAAGTTAATTTCTACCTTGAAATATTGGGAGACAGGAAAATCCAGAGTCATAGCCAAATTCTGTTTATAGTCGTAGAGGCCAGATGGTACACTAATCACATGGACCTTCATTCATTCATGGACTCACACATTTTAAAACTTAAAGATAAGAGGGGACAGCTATGGCTTAGCATATAAGGAGGAAGAGAACCAATGTGAAATGGGCTTAGGCATTATCTGTAACAAAGATTCCTTAGGAGAAAGATTTTACCACCTGAAGGAAGAACTTCTTTCCCATTTTTGTTGCTGGTTATCTCTCACATAAGTGGGTGTGTATGTGCGTGAGTTAGAAACAGTTGTTAAATTCATAGTTTAAGGACATGGGTCCACTAAAGACTGAGATTTAATCACCAGACTAAGAATACTTCCTTTTTCACACATTTTACTACCAAGTTAAAAAAGCTCCTGTGCAAGATCAAGAGATAGCTGCAGACTCTGAAGAGGAACCTGAAGGGATTCACAAATGAATCAGTCAGGGGGTGGAAGACTTCTAGCAGAAGTTAAAAAGACAGTCCACAGTATCTAAGCAGGGAGGAAACACTGGCTGTTGTATTGTTTTTTGAGTTATTCCCCTTTTAGCTTCTTATTTTTCTTGATTTTGTTCCTCTTGTTCTGCTTTTGTGATTGCTTTGCTTGTCTCTGTAATTTTAGTTTTCTTCCTACCTGCTATATTTTCCTATCTATGCTTTTACTATTACTCCTTCCTTACCTTCTCTCCTAACCCTTTCCAAATCATCCGTACTTTTTACTTATTATTATAAGTAACAACTTTTAAACTTCCTTGGTTTTATAGTTAGGATCTGAGATATTTTATAACCTTACTAAGGACGAAGGTAGTCATTTGCATTTTAATACATTTTAATAACTTTTCTAGACAAATAATTGTTATTAATCTCCAATTCCTCTCCTTTAAAGAGTAGTGTGAACCAGAAGCCCAAGAGAAAACTATCTTCTTAAAAGTTATGAATGGATATAAAGGAAAGGAAAATACATAAACATTGCAATAGATGTCTAAGTCACAGGATAAAACCACAAGAAATATGAAAAATTTAGACAGTATGACCTCTTATCTAAAAGATAGTAACTCCTCAATAGGTAAAACCAAAGATGCTGAAATAGTTGAAATGTAAGACAAAAAATTCAAAAGCCTACTTTTAATCTTGATCAATGACTTTAAAGAGGACATCAATTCAGGATCTAGAAATAAAAAGTCTGCAACATGGATTGAAAATTCATCAAGGAAATAAACTAAACAGCAAACAAATAATAGTAATAAGAAATGATAATAAACCAGTGGGAACTATAACACACTAGATTAAGCAGAAGAAAAAAACACAGGGATTGAAACAAAGTAAAAGGTCCAGAGTACATTTAGAGACCAGTCGAAACAAAACGAAACAAAACAAAACAAAGGATGCCTCAATAGGTTTCAATAGGACTCAGAAAAACTTTGGGACATAATCTAGAGACCAAACCTAAGTGAGCAGGTAATAGAAGAGTTTAGTTTGAAGCTAAAGGCATAGAAAAACCTATCCAATTACAGAGTAAAGGAAATTTCTCAAACCAATGATAGAAAGTGGGACTGGAGGCACTAAGAATCCCTAATAAATATGGCAGGAATAGAAGAAGCCCTCTGTGTCACATGAGAGTTAAAGGTAAGTAGTAGAACAAAAGAAGAACACTAAATACATGAGACAGCTAGGTGTGGTGTCACACACCTGTTATCCTAGCACTTAGGAAGGTGAGAGAGAAGGATTTTAGTCACTGCTAGTCTGCAATACATTGAAAATACATGGGAGGGTAACAGCAAGACTGTAAAAGTAAAAACAAAATGTCAAACACAACACAGCAAAAAGCTACCAGAGGAAAATATCAATGTACTTACAAAGGCATTTCCATCAGAATAACATTAGACCTCTCCTTTCAACAAAAGCTTGAGAAGCCAGAAAAGCATGGGATATCATCATCCAAGAAATTAGGACTTCCATCTGTGTGTCTGTCTGTCTGTCATCTACTATCTATCTAAATATAGAGAGAGGGTGGTTATGTTCTTTCTATTTTGAATTTCTTCAGGACTTTTATAAGCAATGAAATGTTGAACTTTGTCAAGGTTTTTTTCTGTATCTATTGAGACAATAAGATTATAATCATGAGAGTTAAGCCTCTGAGTGCTATATATGTATGTGTTATATTTATTAATTTGCTTATGTTGAACTATTCCTAAATCTCTGAAATGAAACCAAATTTTTTATACCTTGTTTATGGTATATTACACACACATTCTGTCTCTGACACACACACACACACACACACACACACACACAAGCTCAAGCATGACAAATACAGAACCAATAATATACAAAATGGAGAAAAGTAAAAGCATTTTCCCTAAAATCAAGGACAAGGGTGTCCACTCTTTCTATCCTTACCTAATGCATCACTGGAATTCTTATCTAGATCAATAAAGCATGAGAAAGATATAATATAGATACAACTTTTAAAAAAGTTGCCTTACTTGCAAATGAATTGTTACTAAAAAGACTTTTTAGGGGCTAGAGAGGTGGCTCAGCCCACTAAGAGCACTGGCTGCTCTTCCAGAGGACCAGGGTTCAATTCTCAGCACCCACACTGCAGCTCACAATTGTATGTAATTCCAGTTCCAAGGGATTTGGTGTGCTCTTCTTTCTTCCATTAAAACTAGTTATGCACATGGTGCACAAACATACATGCTGGCAAAACCCCAGACATACAAAAATAAAAATTAATAAAATTAAAATTAAAATTAATAAAATTAATTAAGATAAAGACTTCCCAA